TGAGTTCGAGACCAGCCTGGGCTACAAAGTGAGCTCAAGGCCAGCCTGAACTGCATAGTGAGACCCTGTCTCAAAAAAAAAAAAAAAAAAGAAAAAGAAAAAGAACCTCTTGTAACCGAGTGGGGATGACGGCAGAGGTCTCTAAAGGATGGCTGAGAGGATGGGCAGATGGGGCAACAGGAGCAGTGCGGGCCTCTCCTGACGCTGCGGTGCACACTGCACCCGCTTCCCGGACATCCTGAACATCCTGGGGAAACCCAGGACCAGACCCAACCCAACTAAAGCGTGGGTTCTTCAAGCTCTTGCTGACCCTCCTGCGCTCTTCCCAGGTGAGTCACTCACCTCACACTCTGAATTACAGGCCAATGATGTCCAAATCTCCCTCAGGATGTGTCTTTTCTGCAGTCTAGTCTGGACTTCTCTCAGCTTGGGCGGTTTCTCTGCTTGGCTGTCTCAGCTCCTGCCGTCTAACAACCCTTCCATGCCGGCGAACGGCACTGCCCCCCGTGCTCCCCACAGCTGCTCATGCTAGAGACTTGGAAACTCTCCTGAACTCCTTCACACCCAGCTCAAAATCTTATCGGCGGTGGCGGCACTTCCCTTATCATGTATAATAAAACACTTTTATTTCCCCACCCCCTCCACACCCTGATCTCAATGTAAATATCTGTTCCTTAGGTGTCTTCGCTGGCTGTTCCCGGGCCCTGTGTGAGGTGGCCCTTCTTTATGCTTGACGCGATCCTATTTGTGTCCCATCATGGTGATACCCCCTCCAGCGGCAGGTGGACATGGTGGGGTGTCTAAAGCACTAGAGTCAGATTCCCCATCCTGGGGCCCCAACTGCCGGGGTGGTCCATTCCCTCCCCGCTCCGCTCACCGGCCTCAGCACCCTGTGGACTTCCTGCAGGACTTTCTTCGTGCTCTGCACAGAGCACAGCACGAGAGTGCAGACCACCACGTCCATGGAGCCGTCAGCCACTTGGTTCATGTCCTCTCCGGGAGCCACCACGAACCGCTCGTACTGCAGATGCCTGTTCTCAGCCATGCTCTTTGTCAGGAACTTCTCAAAGTGGGGGTTTGGGTCCAGGCAGGTGATCCTGCAGCCAGGCGGGTAGAACTGGAAGTTGGCACCAGTGCCAGAGCCCAGCTCTAGCAGGGCCACCTTCCCAGAGGTTCCCTTAAGCCCCTTTATCTGGCTGAAGAGCTCCCGTTTCTTGCTCTCCATCATGCGGTTGGTCTTGGCGGCCAGCACAACCATCAGGTAGGGGAAGTACTTTTTGCACAGGGGCTGCCATAAGCCCAGCAGAGCCAGCAGGTGCAGGGGCAGGGTCAGGAGCAGCACCAGCAGCTGCAGGAGTCGAACCACGGCGTCCATGGCACCAGCTCCAGGTTGTGATACTGTGGGACTTTGCTCAACCTCTGCAGATGCTCGTTTCTTCCCCGCCTCCTGTGACAGGACTTTGCTCCTTTTCCTCCGTGCTTGATTTCCTTTTTGTAGGGTGGAGTGCTTGTGCGAAATCCTGCTAGTGGGCATGGATCCCAGAGGCCCGCAGGCGCAGGCTCTTCAACAAGATTTATGTGGGGCAAAGGCACAGGTGATAGCTTGTTTCTGCATTCGGGGGTCCTCGGCCCAGCTGAACAGGGTGAGGCGGGCTGACTTAGCTCAGAGGGGAGCAGGAGGGGGATAGCGTGGACATCTCGGAGCTCACCTTCAGGGCACCAGATGCTAAGGGCAGTGCTGACTCACAGGGTATGTTCTGACCTCACTGTGTCCTCTGGTCTGCTCAGGTTATGCAAACTGGAAATTCTGGTTGGGTTCCTCTAGCACACCCCCTGGACTTTGTAAACGGTGATGTGCCTTTGCTCCAGATTGAGGCCAAGCTGAGTGTCTAGGCTTAGGCTTGATTGGTCATAAGAAGGAGGAAAGCTGTGGATCAAGAGAAGGGTACTTCCTGAGCTCACTAGTGTTCATGATCAAATTCAAGTCTGCAAAACTCCAGAAACAGAAGAAAAGGAGACAAAAAGGCAGAGTGGAAGAGTTGGGTTCCAGTCTTAGCTTTGCCCCTGATTGTGTTTTTTTTGGGCAAATGCTTTTACTTTCTGGGCCTCAACCTCTCATTTACAAGGTGGGGGAATCAAGGAAAAGCTGGAGGGTCTTACGTAGTTCCTAGGGTCTTCCTCTGCTCCCATGCAAGTGTGATCTAAGGAGAGTAAAGTAATCTGCAGAAGCGGGTGACTCTGGGTATGTTCATGGCCCCCTGGGGACCTGGGTTGCAGCCCAAGACAGTACCCTAATGCTTCCGGACAGGCCCAGAGATCACCACCAAGGCAGGGAGGTTTCAGAGGCCAGACCTCTGGTTCATAGGCAGCTTAGCTCAAAGCACCCAGGTTACTCATTACTTGGTGGCTTCTCTTTTGGCTGAAGCTACCCTCAATGTCTTGGGAGTTGCTCCTCACAGTCTGTCCCGAAGTCTGCACACTGAATGTGTAGTGGTCAAAGGGAAGTTTTTTTTTTGTTTTGTTTTGTCTTTTTGAGACAGGGTCTCACTATGCAGGTCAGGCCTTGAACTCACTTATGTAGCCCAGGCTGGTCTTGAACTTGCAACGATCCTCCTGCCTCAGCCTCCCCAGTGCTGAGATTACAGGCATGCGCCACTACGCCGGCCAAAAGAAAGTATTTTAAAGATATGTTCATGTAGATATGGAATATTTGATAAGTTTATTCATAATTATTTTATCTCTTTTCAGTTATTATAAAAGGACTATGTTTTTTATATTTTAATTGGTTGTATGTGCATATATATCTCATCATTTTTGATTTTTGTATATTTGTTTTGTATCTAGTTATCTAAATTTTTTCCCTGTTTATATTAATTTAAATTTAATTTAATTTTTTTGAGACAGGGTTTTACTATGCAGTACTGGGTGGCCTTGAACTCACTTTGTAGCCCAGGCTGGCCTTGACCTTATAGCAATCCTCCTGCCTCAGCCTCCCAAGTGCTGGGATCACAGGCATGCACCACCACATCCAGCTAATTTTTTAAGAACCAGTATGGCCCATATTAATCTAAAAAACTTGATCCTTTGAGTTTTCCAGGTACAAAATGATACATGGAAATAATGATTTTACTTTTTTTCAATTTTTATATCTTTTTTTCTTGCTTAATTGCTTTAACTACCATAATGCCTTCAGAATGTTAAATAGTAGGATGGATATGAAATTACTCTTCTTGTCCTGGAAATTAATGAGAATTCTCTACTTTCCCATAGACAGTTGTTTGCCTCTGTTCTCTTAGCTTTTCTTCTCTTTTTTTTTTTTTTTTTTTTTTGTTTTTGTGAGAGGGTGTTTTTCTGTGGTTTTGGGTGTGCTTTTGCTCTCTTTGTAGCCCAGGTTGGTCTCGAACTCACAACGATCCCCCTGTCTCAGCCTCCCAAGTTCTGGGGTTACAGACGTGCGCCACCACGCCCAGCTGTTCGCTTAGCTTTTCATCCATCCTTTTATTCTTTGTTCTGTGATTAGGAATCTGAAATTACATTTCTCTGGCTCCCAGGCTTGCCGGCTTCCTTGGGGGTTCTGCTAGTAGTTGGCACTTGGGGAGATCGCACTGGGAGGAAGAGAAGAGGGTATCTTCCTGCTTCTGGCTGGGTGGTGCGGCAGTTGTCTTTATGGCTGTCTGGAACAGCAGTGGGGCTGGGAAGGTTCCAGCCTCCATCTGCTGAGTCGGGACGCATCTTTTCAGCAGTTCCAGCTCTGGTGCAGGAGGCCCCTTCTTGGCACAACTAGAACACGTGACGTGACAGCTTGCGCACAGGATCGCCTTGGGAGGCGGGGGCTGCAGGGAGCAGTGCTGACAGCTTGTGATCTCTGCGTATCACCCCTTCCTTCTTCATTTCTGTCTCTCCCGCCTTCCAACGTCTCCCTTTGGTTATTCCTTATTTGTAACACAGTTCTGATCAGTTCTCACCGCATTTCTTCTGTTTAAAACCATGGGAATGGTTTTCCTTTGCCTGAGTAGACCTTTACTAGTATATCCCCTAGGAATGACGTGAGCTTTGGAGTTGAGCTAAAAATAGTTGTGTTAAGTAAGTGTTGAGATCAGTGTTTTATACCGAGTCCTCTGTCCTTAAACCTCTTATAACTCCTCTTCCGCCTTTACTCTCAATTGATGAATTTGCTTTATACGTTATGATGGGAGCTACAGGATGTAAACTGTCACAAGACCGACCTATAGATTGCATCTTTCACTGCTTCACAAAGAAGTCCTCTGCCTATTAGTCAGGCTCATTTCCCTCCTTCATCACCAGTCTACTTTTTTTTTGTACTAGGAATCGAACTCATGACCTTGCGCTTGCCAGGCAGGTGCTCATGCCACTGAGCTACATCCCCGGCTCATCAGTCTACTTTGTGTCTCTGGGTTGACCTGTTCTCCCCATTTCATATAATCTATGTGGCTTTTCTGAGTGCTCCTTTGACCACTCAGCATAACGCTTCTGAGGTTCATGTGTGCTGTAGTGTGTAGCAGTCCTTCACCGTTTTTATGACCGAGTAACAATACACTGCATGCCATATTTTACTTATCTATTCATCAGCTGATGGTCACTTGAGTTATTTCTAACTTTTGGGGTATCATGAATAATGCTGCTTGAAATCTTATCATAATTTTACCTTTGTTTCTGCCCCCCCTCACTGATCTCTGGCTCTTTAAAGGTCTTTCATCACATTAACACACTGTAATATACTTCAGGTTAATAAAAAACCATCCCTCCCTTGACTCCACACCTCACTTTAACGACCCATTTACAGATCTACTTCAAAGTCCTAACTTCTTGCATCATCTGTTCGTGTTATCTTGATTTCCTCACCTTCCCTTCACTCTCTCTCCCTCCCTCCACACTCTTATGTAAGCTGTTCTTATCGCAGTGGTGGCCACATTGCCAGCTACCGGGACAGGGAATAGTCCCATATCATCTTACTTGACCTCTTCACAGCTTCAGAAGCAGTTGGCTTCTACCTCTTCCTTGTAACACCCTCTCATTTAGGCTGTCGTGACACCATAGTCTTGTTTGTCCTAATCCTTCTTAGGCTTCTTCTTCTGATTTTTTTAAAAGATCTTTGTCATCTACTTAAGTTCTAAAATTTTTTTTTGGGGGGGTAATCTTGGATCGTCCTCTGTTTACAGTTTCTCATTAAGTAATTGCATTTTACTTTTCTGTTTTTGTTTTCTTGTTTTTCTTCTGGTACCAGGAATCGAACTCATGACCTTGCACTTGCCAGGCAGGCGCTATGCGGCTGAGCTAAATCCCCAGCCCCAAATAATCTCATTTAAAAAAATAGACTTCAGCCTCTAATCCCAGCACTTGGGAGGCTGAGGCAGGAGGATCGTTGAAAGTTTGAGGCCAGGCTGTGCTACAAAGTGAGCTTGAGGCCAGGCTGAACTGCATAGTGAGACCCTGCCTCAAAAAGACCAAAAAAAAAAAAAAAAAAAAAAAAAAAAAAAAAAGACTTCATTTTTTGAGCAGTTTTGAATTCATAGCAAAATTAAGAGAAAGGTATAGAGATATGTAACTTACCACTGTACCATGCATACACAGCCTCCCCCATTTACAATGTCCCTTAGGAGATCGGGCCTTTGTTACAAATGATAAACCTGCATGAACGATCATCACTGCTTAATCTCCTTCATTTTCATGGCCTAAAATACCATGCGTATGCTAATTAGCCATACACTTACCTCTGTAGTATAGATCTAACTTCTGAGTTTCAAATTTGCATCTAGTTTACTACTAGACATCTTCCTCAGCATGTCTACTGGATATGTTAAACCTAGGACATCTGAGGGGGATTTAGGATACTTCCCAAGTCTCATCTCACTCTCAGCCTCTCCTCCTTATTATTTTACAAAATGGCACCCCTGGAGCTCCTCCCAAGCCCCCTTCCAGCCTGCAGTCTTGGGCCTGGCAAGGGTAGGAAAAACAAAAACAAAAATCCAATCAGCCTGCAATCTTTCCCAGTCCCTCCTTCTATTAGCCTCAGGGCCATGAGCTCCACCCTCTTCTTTTTTTTTTTTTTTTTTTGGTGTTTTTTTTTTGCAGTACCAGGAATTGAACTCACAACCTTGCGCTTCCCAGGCAGGTGCTGTGCCTCTGAGCTAAATCTCCAGCCCCCTTTGTTTTTTTTTGAGATAGGGTCTTGCTATGCAGTCAGGCTGGCCTTGAACTCATGCGATCCTCCTGCCTCAGCCTACCGAGCGCTGGGATGATGGGCGTGGCCACCACACCCAGCTTCCTCCCTTTTCTGTGCTTTCTTTTCAGCAGCCTCTCCTTCTTACCTTGATAACTTTTATTACTCACCTTTCAGATCTCACCCCAAGGTCCCCTTCCCTGATCTAGGTTAAGAGACTTAGCTCACTGTGCAGTAACTGCTTTTTTTTTTTTACCTTCTGTCTTTATGCTCCCTAAGAGCAAGGAGTAAGTGTTTTTCCTCCTTACCGTGTGTCCGCCTCCCAACTTGGTGCCTAGCAGGTAGTACATACTGAAAATGCGCATGTCAAATAAATAACAAATAGGCTTAATCACGTGATAATTATTTCATTCATTCGTCTACGTTTTAAAATCTGCAACTTTGCAGTGAGTTAGCTCCACAGTGCCAGAAATACATTTTCTTCTTCACTGCTGTATCCTCAGGGCCATTTCTAGCACCTGTCTCACAGACCACTCAATACATCTTTATTGGACGGATTGAGGGCTT